CTTGGGTTGAGTTGGGTTTTTTTCAGGAAGCTTTTTTCAGTTTAATATATGTATACGGTCGAAACCGATTTTGCCCTTCGTACGACTGGTCGAGATGGGAACATAATGGACCGAAGAGTGTCTTCATAATTTCGGGATAAGATCCGAAGCCGGGTTACCTAGCTTCGAGTTTTAGGAACCGATCAATCCGAGCTCGAAGTCATTATCGAGCTCGAATCCAAATCGAACCATGATGCGAAGCAACGTTATCGAGCTCGAGAGCCAAAGACCGACCAATGCTGAGCCCGAATCAATACCGGGCCTCAAGTCAAAATCGAGCTCGAATCAATATCGAGCTCGATTCAGTATCGAGCTTAAGTCAATATCAAGACTATAGACAAGAGCCGTTACAGCCGCACTAAAGGAGAGAATCTCAGCAGGAAAAAGGAGAAAGTTGATTTATCATGGTTCCCCACTATGTATTTTTAATTATATCTAAAGTAGGATCCCCCACTATAAGAGGGATGACTATTATCTCTGTGAAAGCATAACTATTGAGACATTAAGACACCATAACTAAGATACTGTGCATATGCTCCATATTGAGAGATTATCATTTTGAGCTTTATACATTATTTTCATCTTGCTTACTCATAAATCATCCTCCCTTCAACCTTGTTTGTATTTTCATTCTTGATAGTCAATACTCGATATTTTCGCTTATACGATTCGTATCAAGATATACCACGTACCATTAGAACTACGTACAAATTCAACTTTATTCGTTTTTTCGGGTAAATAGTTTGGCGCCCACCGTGGGAATAAGGATAACAGTGGTTATTTGACACAAATCTGCAAAGCACATCATTTTACGCTTGTTGTTGAAAGTGTCTTTGATTTCGGATTAGCAACAACGAACTCTCAATTAATGGCCTTACATGTCGACAACGAAGCTGGCCTTCAAGGTGAGAACAACAACTTGACGCCCAGGGCCGAAAGGCCGCTTGTCGATGCCGTTGGGGGCCGAGTCGAAGTACTATCAGATGTTAATTCGCATGTGGCTATTAAGGCAAACCAACGTTCTGAACCTGAAAATAGCATTCATGGTGGTACTCGATCTGCAGTTCGAGACACCCATAACGTTAGGGAAACGGAATCAGCTTGCGTATGATTTTTGAAATGTTGCAAGATCAACAGGTAGCGATAGCTCAGTTGTAGAGTCAAACCCAGGTACCGAGCAGACCGGAGCCCAGTCCACCCCGAGAAATTACCCACAGAACAGAGCCAACTATAGTAAGGTCAAATGAGCAAGAATCGGGGATTAATCCCGAAATTGCTAAGATACTAGAGGAACTCACAAAACGGATCGAAGAAAACAATAAAAAAATGGAAACATATAATTCAAGGGTCGATCATATCCCGGGGGCATCACTAGTGTTGAAAGGGTTGGATTCCAAAAAATTCGTGCAAAAGCCTTTTCCCCCGAGTGAAGCTCCAAAATCGATCCCTAAAAAATTTCTCATGCCCGAGATTCCTAAATATAATGAGACGACCGACCCTAACGAACACGTCACCTCTTACACGTGTGCCATAAAGGGTAACAATTTAGAAGATGACGAAATCGAATCTCTACTGTTGAAAAAATTCGGAGAGACCCTTTCGAAGGGAGTAATGATTTGATATCACAACCTGCCACCAAATTCCATCGACTCATTCGCCATGTTAGCAGATTCTTTCGTAAAGGCACACGCATGGGCCATAAAGGTCGCAACGAGGAAATCGGACCTTTACAAGGTAAGACAAAGGGATAATGAAATGCTGAGGGAGTTCATGTCCCGATTTCTAATAGAACGCATGGAATTGCCACAGGTCACAGATGATTGGGCCGTTCAAGCTTTCACCCAAGGGTTGAACGAGCGGAGTTCGATGGCATCACGTCAGTTGAAACAAAGTTTGATCGAGTATCCGGCCGTGACCTGGGCAGATGTGCACAATCGATATCAATCGAAGATCCGTTTCGAGGACGACCAACTAAGAGCCCCTTCCGGTTTAGTACATCCAAACAGGTCGGTAGTTAAGAACCAGAGGGACATCGACAGGGATGTTACAGCCGCACTAAAGGAGAGAATCTCGACAGAAAAAAGGGGAACATTGATTTATCATAGTTCCCCACTATGTATTTTTAATTATATCTAAGGTAGGATCCCCACTATAAGAGGGATGACTATTATCTCTGTGAAAGCATAACTATTGAGACATTAAGACACCATAACTGAGATACTGTGCATATGCTCCATATTGAGAGATTATCATTTTGAGCTTTATACATTATTTATATCTTGCTTACTCATAAATCATCCTCCCTTTAACCTTGTTTGTATTTTCATTCTTGATAGTCAATACTCGATATTTTCGCTTATACGATTTGTATCAAGATATACCACATACCTTTAGAATTACGTACAAATTCAACTTTATCCGTTTTTCGGGTAAACAATATGTTTCTTTAATGGAATAGTATTGATTTTTTCGGCCAAGACTTCACCAATTTTTGGTTTAAACAAACTCCTAAAAGATATTATAAGAAATTTAATGAAGTTGAGGAAAAATTATCAACTATAAGTTGAACGACCTTTTTTGTAATTAACCTCTATTTATTTAATCCAATCTTTAAAAATCCTCCTGCCTAGACCGAATTGTTTCCATCGAAAAATATGAAGCAGGCTCAGCTTATTTGAGAGTAGAACCAGCAAGAAGCCCAAGCCCAAATCATGTGCTCGGATCCTCAACTTTCCACCAAGTTGATACATTTTTGAGGCCTGCAAATTCACTCACCAAACCTGAGGGCTAAGTCCATTATCCTTTTCCTTTATTTGGGTCTTATCTTATGGGTAGGGATGTACAAAAAAAATTGATAAATCGCACCAAATCGGTAATCCGAATCAAACCGAAAAAAAATCCAATATGGTTTGGTATTGGAAAATAAAACCCGACCATTATTGGTTTGGTTTGGTTTTAACTAAAAAAAGTCAAACCGAAATCAAACCAACCCGATAGTACATTTATATAATTTTTAAAAATATTTTATACATATAAACATTTATTATAATATAATTTATAAATATTTCTTAAACTTTTTCACAATTTTATAAACCCAACTTTGTTAGTTTGGTTTAGTTTATAAATTTAAAAATCCGACATCATTGATTTGATTTGATAATTGAAAAATCCGAACTAACTCGATATATGTACACGTTGCTTATGGGACTTGCTCATCCGTCCATCTCTCTCTAAATTAATCAAGTCTAGCATGTACCGCATGTTATATTAGTAGCTATAACACGCCAATTATGCACGCCAACCGTTTTATCTGAATTTTCCCCCAGCCTTTTTTATGCTAAATTGTTCTTTATTAAGAATGATTACTTCTACTATATAATTTTTGTTGGTATATAAGTTTGAAAAATTCACTAGACTTTGTTTAACTATTTGAAGAAAGATTAAGAATCTAGTGCAACGAGAATAATAGCTATGCCTCGATTTCACCAGTTTAAATCGAATATATGAATATAAATTTATGAACCCGTTTTGGCTACTCTTTTTCAAAAAAAAAAAAAAAAAAAAAATCGAAAATATGTTTGTTCATGTAATTAGATCAGTTTTTATTTTATTTTTTTGAAAAAATATTTCGAATTCACAAAAACCTGAAATTTTTTTATCTACTCACAAAACTTCTAGTTTTTTTCAACTAAAATACATGTCCAAACTTCAACTTCCAAAATTATTTTTCAATACAACTTTAAAAACTTTTATTTTTCAAATTTCAAGCAAATATATGTCCAAGCGCTAGTATAGAATGAAGTTTCTGATGCTTAGATAAGAGCCGGGCCGGATGTAGTATGCCAATGACGGGTTCAATTGAATCCATAACTTTTGACGCGAAGTAAAAATTTATATATAAAAATTCGTTAAATTATAAAAATAATAGATATGAACCTATAATTTTAAATATATAATGACAATACTAAATCTAAAAAGTGCATAGAGGTTGAAAATAAAAAAAAAGAAAGGAAAAGGTAATTAACCATGGCAAAAAGAAGAAAAAAAGAGTATGCAGTAACAGTAACTAGTAGAAGCGGAGACGAAATTACAAAGATGGGTCAAAGTAGAGACGTGTTAGCAAAGAGAGGCAGTTGCCTTTCTGACTTGGGCGCATGACATTAGAATTTTCTTTGGTAAAACTAAAATAAGCTCCTTTTTTCCTCTGTAATGCAAATTATACTACTAATTTATTTTATTTCAATTCTAATAAATCTAAATTCTTCTCCGGCATACTGCAGCCCGTCAAAATTATACTCCACACAGAGAGAAAAAGAGAAGAGTGTGTGTGTGTGTGTGTGTTTGTTTGTGCGCGCGCGTGTTTAGGTGAGAGAGAAAGAGAGATCATTGAATTGAAAGAAACAGTAAATCTGATTTAGAGATGAAGTCGTCTTTGGGGAAGCTGAAGAAATTTGCACTGCACAATAAGGAGAAGAAGGATCCTCAGATTTTGTTGCATTTGGATGGCCTCTCTCAAGCTTCTCAGGTTTCTTCTTCTTTTCCGCTTTCTTCCCCACTCCCTTTCCACCATTCCCCAATTAGGGTTTCCGATTCCTCTTTCTTTCCTTTGCTTTGCTTTTACCCGACCCGTATCCATTTTCTCACTTGCTTTCAATCAAAGTTCCACTTTTTTCGTAAGTCTCCTTCTGTTACTTGTGGTAGTGCTGTTCCGAATTCATCTCCGTTCAAGTTACGAATCTGATTTATCAGTCAACTATTTCAACTCCTCTTACAGCAGTTTTTCATCTCTCTCTCATTTTCCTGTTTCATTGGTACTTAATTTTTTAGCTCCGTGGTGCTATGTCTAAATTAAGGTTTTCTTATTTTCCTCTTTTTGCAGGATATGAAAGACATGAGAGATTCCTATGACAGCTTACTATCTGCAGCAGCAGCTGCAGCTAATAGTGCATTTGGTACACACTTTATCTGCTATATTTTTCAGGCAATGTCGCAGCCTTTTGACCCAAGCAGTTCGTCACCATGGAGCACAGGTGTCCTTTTGCATTTTTTTAAGCTCCATTTGTCCCATTATAGGTTATCCATCTTTGTCTTGGATCGGGTAATGACTTGTTTGCCTAATTTCTCTTTTTCTGGAGCAGTTGAATTTCTTCCGCAAAGGACTGAAATCTCTTGAAGCTGTTGAACCACAAATAAGGGTGGTTGCTGAAAAGCAACACATTGACTACCAACTTGTTGAATTGGATGATAGTGAGGATGGAGGGAAGAGCTATGAGGCTAATGATGTTGGTGAATTGAGTTTTGATTATAGACAAAATAAGCAGGAACTAAATGATCCTTTCCCATTGAGGGATTCAATGGAGGTAAATTACCATATTGTTGTCATGCCTCTATTTTCCTCTGTGGAAGATTATGAACTGCCTTCATTCGGGTTCATCCTGGAGATCTTGACTGTTGCAGCTTTTGGCAGCGTGTCAATTTTTAAATCCTGTTGCCTGCCCTTTGCTTGTAATTAATACAATAAAACTGGCTGACGTAAATATGTTCTAGTTCACGATGCTATACCCATTTTTTTTATCGTATTGTGTAAAGTGATAGGGTGCTTGCTTTAAGCAGAAAAAAAATGTCTTTTGGTTTTCCTAATCTTCTCTATGCATTTCTACACAAACTGAATCTTATCCCACTATTACTAAGGCTAGCTAAGCCTTTTTATTACTGCCTCTGTCCTTCAATGGCATTTCATCCCTTGACTAATTTCTTGTACTCATCCAATGCACATCTGAATTCATCCGCCTGTTAATTTTGTGCGTACAAAAAGGGAGAGCCGAGAATGGTGGTTATTATCTGTCTTGGTAGCGATATAGGCATTATTGAATTTTGGTTTGAGATGATGAACTTGTTTAATTTGCCAAATGTTGGATTTTGGTCTAATATGCCTGACTTTGGCAGTTTGATCCAGCGGATGCTCCAAGTGCCCTACTAACCTCTGGGATGGAGGAAGGGGAGGTAACATTCTGTCCTTGTTACTGTTACTGGTACTCAGTATACATATATTCAGCTATATAATTGTCCTATGTGGTGTGAGTTCTGAGGTTTATTACTGTTTTGAGCAACTTCACACATTGCCTTAGATTTTCGCTTAGATTATCAACTTGTGCGACTTAGCTTATTTAATTTGGAAGACTCATCTTGCAGTTGGATTTTGGCAAAAACCAAGAGCAGACTTTTACTAGACAACCTCGTGCAGGCAGTCATTCTGCTCCAATATTTGCGGAGAAATTGGATATTTCTGATAGAATCAAACAAGCACAGACATCTGTCCGCAAATTTCACACATACGTTTTACCAACTCCAGCTGATGCGAAAAGTTTGAGTACAAGGACAAGTGTTTCCCTTCACTCTAGTGCTACAAATCCTAGTGGAGGAGCCAACAATCCCTGGCATTCTTCCCCGCTTAATATTGATAATTATTCTAAATTTGCAGAAGGAAACTTGTCAGCGGACATTCTTGCAAAAGCCCAACCCACTGTTAATAATCTCTCCGCCCCACTACCCCCACCTCTTGCTGAGGGAACTTCTTTCCCACAATATGATGTACAAAATGGACTTGATGCTAGAAAAATAAGACGACTTGCTTTCTCAGGTCCATTAGCAAGTAAACCTTCATCGAGCAAGCCTTTGTTATCTGCCAGCGGACCTATTGGCTTGGCTGCTGAACGGCCTCTTCTAGAACCTGGATTGGCCTCTGGAGTACCAATAACTCAGCCACCATCAGCTCTAGATGTATCCTACAGTGCTTCACCTCCCCTTGTTTCTTCACCAAAAATTAGTGAGCTTCATGAGCTCCCGCGGCCTCCTGGCTCATTGGCCTCCAAGCCATCAAGTTCAACTGCAGTTGGGCACTCTGCGCCCCTAGTCAACAGAAATCGAGAAATGTCTCCAACAAATCAGAGTCCTGTGCTGGCATCAAATACGGGTTCTCCACTACCACTTCCTCCACTAACCATTCCTCGAAGTTTTTCTATACCGTCCAACAATCAGAGAGCAATGGCACTACATGTAGCCCAGCTACTAGAGTCTCCTCAAAGAAAGGGCAAGGGTGATGTAATGTGCTCTCCTCCATTAACACCTATATCTCTTTCAAACGCTTCAAATTCTGGGCAAATCAGAGGTAAAATATCTTGATTATATTAACTTGGCAACTATATTGTTTCCAGATGGATTATTTCTTTTTCCGAGCAAATGATAAATTCTACAGTGAACCTCTTATCTGTGAACCTGATTATGAAGATCTGCCTGAGTCACCTTTGGAATGGAAAAAGAAAGGGTTACAAGTAAAAAGGAAAAAACAGTTTTTTTTCTTGTCAATTCTTCACTAAAAGACTATGTCAGCTTGGTTGTTTTTGGGGGGGGGGGGGGGAATGGTCAATAAGTAGTTAAGTATTTCTATAGCTAAAGGAGGCTCTGGATATATCATAGAGGCAGATTGGAGAATGCATTGTTTTTATGTGTTTATTGCTCATTTTATTCCTTTCCCCCCCTTGTCTTTTGACATCTAAATTTCGGTGGATGCAGGTAGGAGCTGATTTACGTAAGCCTTTGCAGAAAGTGACATTTTTTTTTTCTTTTGGGTTCGGGGTGTAGAGTTTTTTTTTCCACAAGCTGGTGTTGCGGGAGTGGGTTTTGTACATATGTTATTAATGTAAGTTTTTATTTTTTGTCCATTTGACGTTCTCCATATATCTTACACGAATGTAATGGAAGCTCCCTGCCTCAGTTTTGATCTCGTGGGGTTTGATACCGGAGTGTATTCTTTACACTGCCTTCACCCTTTCTAGCGTTTGGAGAAGCCTTGAAAAGAAAAATCAAATCAAGAATGAATCTCAGTTATGTTCTTAATAAGGTATGTAGTCCAGTAATTATTCAATATATGGTCGATGAGAGATAGCAAGTAGACTAGTGGGGACGCATAAACTGGTTCTAACCCCATTGTTATGAAAGAAAAATTAGTACTTAGTATAATGTTTAACTGGTAAATTTGAGCACAAGGCAGTTTAATTCCTCAAACTCGGGAAAATTCTATGTGTTTCTAAGTTATTTCCAAGATCATCGCTGCCAAAACATCTATGCGGGAATAAGTAAAGTATGTGTACTTTGCCCTTGAGCTTACAAATTTTATTTCCGACAGGAAGTAAAATGAAATGCAACATACGGATAAATCGAAAGCGAAAACGAGTGGTGTTTTTCTCTCCAGTAATTAGACGTTCAACAAAGTGGAAAAAAACCACAATATGCATTACGAAAGTGTTCTTTTTTTTATGGTAAAAGATGATAGTAGTAAGCTACGAATTCTCATTTCTCAATATTAAACTTCAGTAAGTTGCATGACTGATAATCTGTAAAGCTTGAATAATTCAGTAAATGTCATTTGCAGAAAAGTTTGAAATTTTAAGTGATTACGTGGAGTAGTTTTTCACCTGTACTATACATTACCTTGAATTTAGGCCGAAAAAGGACAAAAATGGAAAATAAGTTGATAGAGGAATGTAGAAGTGAAGATAAAGAGGCGAATAGGAGCGAAAAGCAATTGGGCATATAGAAAAAATGAAGCTATTCCAATTGCCTCAGCAATTGTGGCTGCAACAACCATACGCCGGCAAGTCTGGCCATTCTCAGCTTCCTCCTCCTACTCATCTTCCTTATTCAATTCCCTCTCTCAGGCTCAAAATTCGCACCTTCACACTCCTAGCACTTTCCGACCCTGGTGCTTCCGGTGAGCTTTACACTTTTCATTCCTTCTCTCTTCTTTCTGTTATAGTCGCATACCAAGTTCTTGATATTGGTTCCTTCGAAGCAGATTCGAACATTTTATATACTTAGCAGTGTTATAGTACATTATGCCTTACTCAATTGTAGTAATGGGTGCAAAGTTAGTATAAATAATGAATGCTAACTGTTTAAAATTGTCTTACTTATATATAGAGTTCGTCTAGTTCAAAGCAGTGCATGGATGAGCTCATCCACATCCAATTCACGCTCCAATTTGGAAAAGAAAAAAAATGTTACGTAACCTGTCTTTTGCGCTTTTTCAGATTCCACAACCCAGGCCACTCAATTTGATCTTTCGTTAACCGTGAAGGTAGGACTGGGAATGAAAACCAAGCTTTGAATAATATTAGTTATTTGTTTTTAAAATACTCAGTTGTAGTTCTTCTCTTGTGATTCAGAGGAAAGCAGCAGAAATATCTCCAGACATGAAAGGAACTTGTATCTTCCTTGTTGGTGGGCATTACTTTTCTGCCTCCATTTTAGCATTCTCTTTGTTTCTTGTCTCATTTTATCTAGTTTGTGTCTCAATCCCAAATTGGTTGGGGTAGATATATAAATCCCTCGTAGTTGTCATAGTTAGAATATCTTTAGCTAGCTCGTCTAGGGCTGTTCAAAACCGAACCGTAACCGTTAACCGAACCGAAAAAATGGCTTATTGGCTTATTAGTATTGGGTTATCGGGGTAACGGTTGGTGAATGGATTGAAATTTTATAATTAACGGCCTAATGGTTTGGAGGCGGATTACTCAATTTCCTTATCGGATAAACCGTTAACCCGTTAAGAATTTTTATATTTATACTTTTACCCCTATGTATATAAAGTAATTTTTGAAACCTTAAGGCCTAAAATCTAAATCCCAAATTTATCAAATATAAGCACCCCTCCTACAAGAATTGGCATGGTTGACTACTAACATGAACTAGCAAAAAAAACTAACAAAAATAATAGAATTGGTAGTAGACATGAACTAGTTCATATCAAATAAACACCCAGATTGGTTGAAATAATGTTTAGTTTCTTATTTAGCATTCCTGGAGGGCAAGGAAATTCCAGTTACTAAGCTGACTAAGGTTGTTGAAGGATTTTTGTCAAGTAGGAGGAAAGAGCTTGGATGATGTAGCAACGGATTATTTGATGGATCTTATGGTTGAGCTAGTTGTAATTGCCAATAAATAAATAAATCAAAGGGTGGGGTAAAAAGAAGCTGTCTTTATAATCTAGCACATGATTTCTGTGGGAAATTAAATGACAAATTTTCTAGTTCTCTACTTCTCTTTTATTGTCTATTTGATTTAGCCGATAAACCGCCCGATAACTGGCCGCTAATCCTTAATCCGATACCAATCCGCCCGATGTCAATTGGATGGCTAGTGGGTTACTACATTTATAAATCGATAACCTATAAGCCGAACCGTTAAGCGTAAGTAACCGCCTGATCCGCCCGATAAGCACCCCTCCTACTGCAACCCTCCTCCTTTATTCGGGCTTCACAGTGGTTATGCTTTACAAAAGTCACTTGTGCAGATTTATCTTATCCAATTTGTGTTGCTTTGAACTGACAGGCTTAAACAGCTCCATCAAATCTAACTTGGGAAAACTTCTTGCAGATGCACTGCGCTATTATTATTTTGACAGGTTGTACATTTAAGTTGTTTGCGGGAACTAGTGCTACAATAATAACCATGTCTAGTAACTAAAGTAGTTTCCTTAATCTGTTGCAGTGACAGTGTCGTTGAAGAAGCTTTGGGAGGAAAGGATGCTGTCAGGTCATTTGTGAAGACAGACTTGAAGGGCTTTCGAGACTCAGAAGTGACTTTCTAATGTCCATATGCAGTGTTTTCCTGTCTTTTACTGCTTTTTCTGTGTTGAGATTTATGACCAAAACTACACTTTGCAATGCAGACGGAGGTACTGAAGCAGTTATCGTCCATGGGTCGCCTTGTTATTGGTGCTGGGAATGGTGCGGTTCAGCGTGCAGCTAATCTGTAGGACAGCTGCTAGTTGTATTTTTTCTCCCCTGTCAAACAGGAAGAGGAAAAAAGAATAATCACTTGTTCTTGATCATACTTGATGTTTGTAGGGCGCTTATGAGACACGGCATATCAATATGGATTGACGTCCCCTTGGATATGGTAGCCAAGGAAATTGTGGAGGAGAGTTTTCAACCTCCTGCTTCTGAAACAATAAAAGGAGCATATCCCGAGGTCTATTTCTGATGACTTCCACCCCAAAAAGCTAGACAAACCCGAGATATTTTGCTCATATTCATTGTTAATCTTCCTTCTGTTAACCTAATGGTGCCTCTTGTTTGTGGATTTCTTCAGCTGTTGGGCTATGCTGATTTTTAGCCTACCATGGTAACAGGTGTTGACTCAATTAACTGCTATTTATGAAGAAAGCCGTAAGGGATATGCTACAGCTGATACAACTATCGCACTCCAGAGTAATTTGCTATTTGCTTCATACTCAGTAGCACTAACGTTTCTTTTGCTGTATTTTTAACAGCTTATTTTACATTTGCAGAGGTTGCTTCTCGGTTAGGCTATGATACACTAGATGCAGTAACCACAGAGGATATGGTTTTGGAGGTAAACTAAAAATTCCCCATTAAGTGGGAGGATTTTTTAAATATTTTTTGCTAATTGGCCGTGTAAGCTTAAATAGACTTTCTGTTTTTTATGGTGATTTTAGACTCTGAAGGAGATAGAGAGATTGATGAGAGTAAAGAAGTTGATGGAAGAAGCTGCCAGGCCATTTTAGTTTCGGTCACAACCAATGCCGACTATCTTGGTTAGTTCTTATCAGTATTGTTCACAGGGGTGTTTGATGATTTCTTTTAATCTCATCCTGCTAATTAACTGGACTTTAAATTTATATGCCGTTATCATTTAGAAAACCTGAGATTATTCTTGATGTGTCATACCTCTTGCTAGGCTTGCTCTTTTAGATGAAGGCAACCTAAGGCAACCAAACTATCAAGTCACTCGGTCATTTCATTCATAATATATTTTCTGCTTCTACCAATGTCGGTGATAATACATTAGCTGCATCTAACATTGTGGTATATGGAATCTTTATGCGGAAAAAGAATTAGATCAAATAAAATAGTACATAACAGAGCGTGACATGCTGAATCCTGAAGTTACATTTGTGGATTTGACTAAGATGATGCGGGGAGTTCGAGAGGGAAGACTAAGAAGAAGATAAAGGAAGGGTGTAGGGAGGAAAAATGGAAGCACCTAAGAGGTTTTGACATCAAGGACATGTTTTGACGAAGCTGCCCAAGAGGGATGTCTGTTTTCAAGGGAAAAACAGAGAAAAATCAGTGTTACTTCCTACTAATTGCAATTAGTCATTTAGAAGTTCAAGTTAAAAAATGCCGATGACCTTAAGAATGACTAGAAAACAGTATATTGTTGAACAAAATAATCATATTGAACAAGTCTTAGATGCACAACTGTGACTTGTAACAAAAAAGTCTTAAACATACAATGGAATGCGACGATTTTATTATTAGAACATCTAATGAAAGATTTTGAAATTATTCGAATTATTATGTGCAGAATCAACATTTATTGTTTGGAGCCTTAAGTGCTGTGCTGAAGTTGGAGAAAGATGGCAACACTTGAAGCTCTTGCAGTTGAATGACTTGTAGTATTGTGAGAGTAATTCTTAAGCGGCATGTATATTGCGAGTATTGTAAATGTTGTACTTTTGTGCACATTTGTATCTTATGTGGTCGGATGAAACTCTCTTCTAAGTGCCAATCTGCAAAATAAGTTTCAACTTCCTAATACTTAAAAGTTAAACATCTACCAACCGAGTAACTCCCACCTCTAAATTTTTGCTTCCATTTATATGCAGTTAGCGTTAGAGCCTTGTTCTATATAGTGACCATACAGCTATTCTTTTGTTGTTTCACTTTTTCCTTTTTGTCATTTTTTCAATAATAGAAAGGGTATGACACAGCTTGTGAATTTTTCAGCTATACATACTATTGTCCTTGAGATGGTGTGTTTGAAGCAAGAAGTTGGCTAAATTCGTTTGAAAAATTTCAATATTTAGCTTTGCGTAATGTTATTTGACCTTTTTGGTTATTCTTAATCAGATGCAAGCAACTCACACTTACCGATTCCCTTGCCTCTAATTGTAACATGCTCAGGTTTGAATTGGGCAGCGCATAATGCAATGTTGGATAAGGGAATCAAAAAAATAAATCAAAATCCTCTGGATCTCATTAGCAAACGACACCAGAAAAATCATCCTCAGGTTTTGGAGGGGTTGGTGAAGACATAGCATTTTCACATATGCGTTTCAGAACATTCAGATTATTTACAATTAAATCCTCAAAATCTGACCTCTTCTGTAGTTGAGTTTCATTCAATTATATATATTTGGGCCTTATCAGAACAATAATACTTTTCGGACGTTTAATCCAGGGTGAATTGGTTATAAAGGGAAGGAAATATTGCAAAGCTAGTAACATCAATGTAGTGCTTAATTAGAACAAATAAGTAAAGACACAGATGTGTGCCTGGGTAGATATATACTACGTAGTAGTTTTAAGTTTTAGTTAGGCATGTTGTTAAAGCTCGAGAGCCTTAGGTCCAGTACAATGTTGAATGGAGCAGTCAAGTCATTGGAGAAAGGTGGCAAGTCTGTTTTGTTCAAACATATAACTTGATGTTAGATTAGCTTTGAACTGGTTGGTGAAGCGGTCCTAATCCATTTCAGGAAAGGCTCGTCCAAATTCGACCTACAAGGTTGCCCCTCTTTCTCTTTGTGATTATATATGTTTTCTTTTGGGTGAGAGCAGAAGTGATGTTTGGTTGTCGAAATGAAAGGAGATTGAAGGCCATATACCCTAGTACGTTCCATAAAAGGGACGAGTGTCGGATCGGACTAGCTATCGAGGATGACGCAGTTGCTGAAAATTTCATGCATAGGCCACACAGCCATGTGCTGATGCCAATCATATTTAATTCTTTATTACTATGACTATTTAGTGTATTTATTTTATATACATTGGGGAGTGAGCATAATGTATGCGGTCGAAATAGATTTCGGCCTTCATACGATTGATCGAGGTCAAAACATAATGGATCGAAGTAAGGCTCCGTGATGGGTTCCGAAGATGGAACAAACAAGCTTCGAGCCCGAGGGACCGATCAACGTCGAGCTCGATATCATTATCAAGCTCGAATCCAAATCGAACTATGATGCAAAGAAAAGTTATCGAACTTGTGATTCAAAGACCGACCCACATCGACCACGAATCAATTCAGGGATCCGAGTCAGAATCAAGTTCAAGTCGAGATCGAGAGCTCGAGTCAAGATCGAGAGCTCGAGTCAAGACCGAAAACTCGAGTCAATATCGAGCTCATAGACAAGAGCCGTTGCAATCCCACTAGAGGAGAGAATCTTGGCAGGAATTGTGGAAAAGCTGATTTATCATGGGTCTCCCACTATGTATTTTTAATTATATCTAAAGTAAGATCCCCCTACTATAAAGGGGATGATTATCATTTCTGTAAAGGCCAAGTTTTTTGCTTATATTGTAATTCAAGCACCATATTCCCCTACAGTGAAGAATTGTTCTTTCAAGCTTCATAAATTGATTCAACTTATTTAGTCCTAGCAATCATCTTCCTTGCAACTTTGCCCACTTTGCATTCTTATCAATCTATACTTGATTTTTCTATTCATCCTTACGATTTGTATTAAGTTATACTATATATCCTTAGAACTGCGTACAAATTCAACTCTATCTGTTTTCTGGGTAAACAGTTTGGCGCCCACCGTGTGGCTAAGGATAACAGTGGTTATTTGATACGAATCTGCAAAAACACACCATTTTGCGCTTGTTTCCGAAAGCATTTCAGATTAGCAACAATTGACTACCAATCAAATGGCCTTACCTATCGACAACGAAGCCGGTCTTCAAGATGAGAATAACAACTTGACACCCAGTACCGGAAGACCACTTGTCAATGCCGTTGAAGCTCGAATCGAAGTGCCGATAGATATCAATTCGCATGTGGCCATTGAGGCGAACGTACATCCTGAACCTGGGAATAACATTCATGGTGGCACTCGGTCTGCATTTCGAGATACCCATAACGTCGAGGAAAACGGCGTCAGCGTGCGCATGATTTTCGAAATGTTGCAAGCTCAACAGGCAGCGATAGCTCAGTTGCAGAGCTAAACGCAACTACCAAGCAGACCGGAGCCCAGTCCACTTCGAGAAATCAGCCACAGAACGGAGCCGGCCATAGTGAGGTCAAGTGAGCAAGAATCGGGGACTACTTCCGAAATTGCTAAAATGCTCGAGGAGCTCACAAAGCGAGTCGAAGCCAACGATAAGAAAGTAGAAACGTATAACTCCAGGGTCGATCAGATCCCGGGAGCTCCACCAATGATAAAAAGGTTGGATTCCAAAATATTCGTGCAAAAACCTTTTCCCTCGAGCGCAGCCCCAAATATAATCCCCAAAAAATTATGTATTCTCGATATTCCCAAATATAACGGAACGACTGACCCCAACGAACACGTCACTTCTTACACGTGTGCCATCAAGGGAAATGATCTAGAAGACGATGAAATCGAATCTGTGTTGTTAAAAAAATTCAGAGAGACCCTCTCGAAGGGAGCAATAATTTGGTATCACAACCTACCACCGAATTCCATCGACTCGTTTGCCATGTTAGCGGATTCTTTTGTAAAAGCACACGCCGATGCCATAACAGTTGCAACAAGGAAATCATACCTTTTCAAGGTAAGACAAAAGGATAACGAGATGCTGAGGGAGTTCGTATCTCGTTTTCAAATGGAACGGATGGATCTGCCACTAGTCACACACGATTGGGTTGTTCAGGCTTTCACTCAAGGTTTAAACGAACGAAGTTCAACGGCTTCACGGCGGTTGAAGCATAACCTGATCGAATACCCAGCCATCACGTGGGCCGATGTGCACAATCGGTATCAATAAAAATTTAGGGTCGACGATGATCAATTGGTGTCTGAACCCGCTGCTCGAAGGGATATTAATCGAGAACAAGGTCTGATTGGTGATCGATACCGACCATATAACGGAAACTGCAGAATCAGTATGGAGACATAACCCCGAGCAAAATAACAAAAAAAGTGATCGAGGTCAAAGGTCCCGTAGGATGATGAACAGAAGTAGGTTCGACAGGCCTGCAGAATCTAAGGAAGCGCCTCGGTTATTGGAATATAACTTCAGCATCGATACATCCGCTATTGTGTCAGCTATCGGACATCAAAGACACTAAATGGCCTCGACCCATGCAGACCGATCCTGCCCAGAGGAATCCTAATCAAATGTGAGAATATCATGGCACCCATGGCCACAGAATGGAAGATTGCAGGCAGCTAAGAGAAGAGGTAGCCCGGTTATTCAACAAAGGGCACATTCGAGAATTTTTAAGCGATAGGGCGAAGAACCTGTCACGACCCAAATCGATGGGCCGTGACGAGTGCCCGAGTTCNAAATGGAGCACACCAACTCTCGCTGATCAAGGATCTTAAGAAGGGGGACCGTCAGCCTGTCTACATGCACCTGCGGGCATGAAACGCAGCGTCCCCAGGCAATGTACTGAGTATGTAAAGCATGAAAATCAGTACATAAAAGACATAGATGAAACATGAGAAGAATTCCACCTGTGAGTCTAAATAACTTTGTGAATCCTGAAACATTTATAATATCATGCACATGCGTGTAAATGTCGTATTATGCATAGGTATAGGTGTACATAACATCATCAAGCCTCTAAGGGTATCTCATCATATCATCTCAGCCACTGTGGGCAAATCATCAATGTATACCAACTGATCAGGTGGTGGTGCGTATATAACGCCTTAACCTTTTTCCATATCCCATATACATATAATATATGCGTATATAACGCCTTCTGGTCATGGGTCAATGTACATGTATAAATGCATGAAATGCATAAGAAATACGTTAATAAGATTTCTCGAATATCATAAAATCAATATGCCTTTCGGACAAACTTTATCAAATACGTATTTTTCTGAGACCCATGAACAAAGGATATAATAATAATTCACACGGGGAATCAAGTATATAGACACCGCTAGTATTTCTATAAATAGAATTATTTATGAAAGTTGCGTATTTTGCTCGTTTCAATTGTATCATTTGGATCATGCCAAAAAGAAAGAAGGGATAGCCTTAACATACCTCAAGTCGTCAATGCAACTCAACAACAAGCTTACGACAACTAGTGCGCCAACTCTATAACAAAGAAATGCATGTACAATTTAGATGGCTGTAGTATATTACGTATCTCAAACGATAACTCGATTCTAAAATAAAACGGGCAGCATTTCCCTTGATTTTATTGCTCCCTCAAGCCTACTATAGGTGAGATACAAACATAATATAATCAGCAACTCAAAACCAACCTAGTTACAATTCGGGACCTTCAATACAACAAAACCCCTAAATATACCATAATACACCCAATCAACAGGTTATCAATTAGCCTGTAACTACAACGACGAGCGACCAACCTACTACCCTACCACATGTGGCGTTTCTCCACGCCATATTTATCCTTCCAAACTCCATAAATCAGCAGCACAATAAACAGCCCAAAAGCAACATGAAACAACCCACAAAACAGTCTACTACAAGTCAAATAACTCGAACTCATGGCTTCCGATCATCGTCCCGTGAGGTCTAACTATTAGGAAACGAATTTATCAACTTTTCTTGATATTTTAAAGCTTAAATACAGAAATTAGGAATTTTTATTAACTATTAAATACATTCCAAAAGTAAAACTATAAAGAAAAAGAGAGGCGATATAGCGATACTTACGTCGTAGGGATCGTTCTGATGTTATCACTTCTCGATTTCGTACATTGTTCTTTTA